TCTCTGCTCAGCAGGAAGCCTGCTTCTCCCTCTCCCTCTGCTGCCCCCCCTTCTTGTGGTCTCTCGCTCTCTCTGTCAAATAAATAAAATCTTTAAAAACAAAAAACAAACAAAAACCTATAGTCAATTAAAAGACCAACTTGAAGAATTCTACCAGGACTCGGAAAGGATTAAAAAAGTGAAATTATGAGAAAAATATTAAGTTGTGAAGGATCTAGAAGATCTTATATATGTATAAGAAATCCAGAAGGAGCAAACAGAAGAATTAAAGAAAATGTACTTAATGTGAAAGAGAATTTGATTCTTTAGATTGAAAGTATCCCCCCAGTACCATGTAGGATTATTGAAGAAAGAAAAAAAAAGACTAACATACACATATCTGGATGAAATTTCCGAATTTCAAGGATCAAGAAAACAAAAGCATATAAAACATTAAACAAAATAAGTTACTCCCTTGAAAAGAGAATAAGATTGGCAGAAGATAATGGTACAATGGCTCCAGTGTCCTGAGGGGAAAAGACTATAGTCAAGAATTCTAAACCTCAACTGATGATTCCCTTACATATGCAAAAGGAAGATACTCTCAAAAAAGCAAAGACGACCAAAATCAATCAAAATAAAAACTCATGAGGGCGCCTGGGTGGCTCAGTTGGTTAAGCGACTGCCTTCGGCTCAGGTCATGATCCTGGAGTCCCGGGATCGAGTCCCGCATCGGGCTCCTTGTCGGGCTCCCTGCTCAGCAGGGAGTCTGCTTCTCCCTCTGACCCTCCCCCCTCTCATGTGCTCTCTCTCTCTCATTCTCTCTCAAATAAATAAATAAAATCTTTAAAAAAAATAAAAATAAAAAAATAAAATAAAAACTCATGAAACAGGAAAACATGAAATATAAAAAGTAGAAATGAATAATGAAAACATAAAAGCTTTTCCTCCTTTTCACTCAACAAAATCCATGAAATAATAAAGGAAAACTTCTCTGAGCTGAAGAATTCAGAGATGAACAGGCTCAATGACTGGCAAACCTAATTTCTGGGGGAAAAAAAAAAGCTGCATACCTAGACATTCTGGTAAAACTTCAAAATTCCAAGGAGAAATGGAAAAAAAAAAAATTCTAAATGTTTTCGGTGCGGGGGGTGCAGAGAAAAAGGTTAAATAAGAATAAGAGAAAATTGGGTGCCTGGGTGGCTCAGTTGGTTAAGAGACTGCCTTCGGCTCAGGTCATGATCCTGGAGTCCTGGGATCGAGTCCCACATCAGGCTCCCTGCTCAGCGGGGAGTCTGCTTCTCCCTCTGACCCTCCCCACTCTCATGCTCTCTCTATCTCATTCTCTCAAATAAATAAAATCTTAAAAAAAAAATTACTAAATGAATCTATCAGATTGGAAGAACCAAAATCAGGAGCTCAAAAACAAAGATACAATGGCTAAAACATTCTCAGGGAAAATGATTTTGAATCTAGAGGTCTCTACTCAGCCACATTAATATTCAAGACTGGGGTGAATATAAATACCTTTACAAACATGCAGAGATTCAAAAAGCTTGTTTGCAAGTGAAAAACAGATTGAAGCAAAAAAAAAAAAAGACATGGGATTTAAGAAATTATGGAGAGAAAGGGCTGCCAAAAAATTAAGGCCACTTTAATCTCTGGGGAAAATGAAGGTACAATGTAAAAAATTAACACAATTATATATGGTTTCAACAAAACACAGGACATGGGGAGGGTGTGTGAAAGCTAAGTGAAAGTTTGCTAATGGCCTTGTATTGTTCTGGAGAGTGGAAGTTATAAATAACTGTTTAATACTTGCCACCGATAGAAAAATATAACTTTTAAAACATGTTACAATCTGGAGGGTAATTAATTGAAGGATAAAAATAATGGAGGGAAAAAGGAAAGAAATAAGAATTCATTTAGAACTCCCAAATAAGGGAAGGCAGTAAAGAATTAGAATGCATAAAATGTCAGGAATCAGACCTAATGTATTATTACAGTAAATGTAAACAGGCTAAATTCCCCTTAGAGTCTTAGAAACTCCAAGATTGGGTTAAAAAAAAATCCAGCCATATTCCGCTTGCAAGAGAAAAATATATACCAGGCAAATGCTAACTGTAAGAGAACAGATGAACAACATTAATATATGAAAAAGCAGGATTCAAGGCAAAACACACCAACTAAGGGACTTCCAAGAAAGATGGTGAAATAGGAGGACCTTGAGTTCACCTCATCCATGGACACAACTACATAACACTCGTGTCACTGTAAGTAACCCAGAAAACAAGAATGGCAGAACAAACTCCACAATAAAACTTCCAATACCATCAAAAAGGGAAGAATGGAGATACAGTGGGGAGCTAAAAATAACTTGTGGGCCATCAGTGGGAGGGAGGGAGCCACAGGTGCAGAGAGGGGAGAGAAAAAGATTATCACACCAAGGAGCCTACACAGGGTGGATGAATCCCCATAGCATTTGGCTTTGAAAACCAGATAGGTCAAATTTCATAAGTTCAGTATTTAAAGCCTGGAACTTCAAAAATCAGCAGGCTTGGCTCTGGGAGAGCCCAGAGGGCAATAGGAAACAGAGTCACTGCCATTAAAGCGAGAGCATAACAAACAGCCCATAGAGATATAGTACAGAAGTAGCAGTTTGAAAAATGCCTGGAGCATATGGGAGGGAGAGCTATTTATTAATCACAGAGTGTGTCCTAAAGGGATACATTTCACTGGGAGATTCCTGCAAGAGCAAAGGAGATGGCAAGCACCATTTCCCTCCCCTGCTCCCCACATAAATATATGGTCACCTGCAGAAACCAGTGTGGTGCAGGCATTCACTACCTAATTTGTTTACACTGTGCCCCACCCCCTCCATCTGAGCCTGCCTCAGTCCCGGCACTGTGGGTCCCCACCCCCAGAAGACCAGTGCAAACTTTGCCAAGCCAGTGTCTCCCAACGGTGCTCTTTGTGGGGCTTCAGTCCAGGCAGCTGCAGTAGCTGGTTACCTCCTGTGGAGGATGCACATACCTTGTGAAACTGCCTGCCCTTCCCCTGCTTTGTGCAGCAGCCCTAGCTGCCCTGGTCTCAGTGGTGGCTGCATGTCCCCTGCGGAACAGGAACAGCACCACCTTGTTAAAAGTGCACATCCCACCCACCACTTTCAAGAGCAGGAGACAATAGTGGGCTTTCCTAACATGCAGCTTTCTGTCTCTTTAGACACAGAGTTAGACAAAATGAGACAGGAATATGTCACAAGTGAACAGGACGAAACCACAGCAAGAGACTTAAGTGAAATGGATATAAATAATATGTCTGATAGAGAATTTAAAGTAATGATCATAAAGATACACACTGGACTTGAGAAAAGAGTGGAGGACGTCAGTGAGACCCTTAAAAAGAGGTAGAAAACAAAAAGGAACGAAAGACAACACAATAAATAAAATTTAAAAATTTACCAGATGGAATAAATAGCAGGCTACAGGAAGCAGAACAAATTAGTAACTGGAGGGGCACCTGAGTAGCTCAGTCGTTAAGCATCTGCCTTCAGCTCAGGTCATGATCCCAGGGTCCTGGGATCGAGCCCCACATCGGGCTCTCTGCTCAGCAGGAAGCCTGCTTCTCCCTCTCACACTCTCCCTGCTTGTGTTCCATTTCTTGCCATCTCTCTCTGGCAAATAAAATCTTTAAAAAAAAAAATTAGCAACTGGAGGACAGAGTAATGGAAAGTAATCAAGCTGAGCAGGTGAAAGAAAAAAATTCTGTGAAATGAGAATAGACTTAGGGAACTCAGTGACTCCATCAAGTGCAATAACATTTGCATTATAGGGATCCCAGAAGAGGAAGAGAAAGAAAAGTGGGAATAAAATTTATTTGAAGAATTAGCTGAAAACTTCCCTAATCTGGAGAAAGAAGGATACCCAGGAGGCACAGAGATCCCCAAACAAAATCAGCCCAAGGAGGTCCACACCAAAACACATAGTAATTAAAATGGCAAAAAGTAGTAATAGAGAATTTTAAAAGTAGCTAGAGAAAAGATGATAGTTACATACAAGGGAAACCCCATAAGTCTATCAGTGGATTTTTCAGCAGAAACTTTGCAGGCCAGGAGGAGGAGCAAGATGCTGGAGGAGTAGGAGACCTAAATTTCATCTGGTCCCAGGAATTCAGCCAGATAGGGATCAAACCATTCTGAACACCTACGAACTCAACAGGAGATCAAAGAAAATAATAGCAGCAACTCTCTGAACAGAAAAGCGACCACTTTCTGGAAGGTAGGATGTGTGGAGAAGTGAATCTGAGGCAATATTCGGGAAGATAGACGGCGGGGGAGGGAGCCTCCGTCAGCCACTACTGGCAGTTAGAATGGCAAAAATGGACAGGGCAAGAAACAACAAATGTTGGAGAGGTTGTGGAGAAAGGG